AAAAAAAAAGGCAGTTAAATTTCAACTGTTGGACAAGATGTACTGGAGGAACTCAGATTTTATGTGCATTGTAGCCCAGAGGTTTGGTATTCTAAACATGTGAAAGTAACCAAGCAAACACTCTGCCATGTGGATGCAACTCTATTAATTCCTTCACTGCTGCTTGGCTTTTCAGTGGATTTCGGTGTAAGCGCTCAACTGGACAGGACCATTGGGAGGAGAAACACATTTATTGGCACACCGTATTGGATGGCACCTGAGGTCATTGCTTGCGAGGAGAACCCAGACTCTACATATGATTACAGAGTAAGTAGCAAACTGTGCAGGTTATTGCTGAACTTTTTCTCAAGTACTGCATTCTGAAAGTTCAAACTTCCCTCCTTTTAAACCGCAATAATATTGTAACGGTACAAATAGAAGTATTTGTAGTACGTGGGTGGTGGCTCTTTTTAAGAGTGGAGTTTCATTATGAATATTTTTTGTGACTTGTTAATACAAGAAATACACTTTCATTAACCTTTGTGCAAAAAAACCAACAAATATATGGAGGTTGCAGGTCAGGATAGAAAAGAAAGGAACGGGTAAATTTGGAAGAATACTTGCAGTAGTGTAATACTTACTGCTCTCCTCTGTGGTAGAGCTGTTTTACTCTACTCTGTACTCAGCTGTGAATCCTGAGTTAATTGGCCATAATTAGTGTCACTTGACCCATTTGTGAGCATGTGACTGCAAGAGGTTTCCCATCCCAGAATGATTTCTGGTCATTTGCAGGGTGGCTGAGGCGAGAAGGCACAGAATTTCTTGTGCTTCAGTTTGTGCCCATTGCCTCTTGTCCTGTCACTGGACACCACTCAGAGGCTGGCTTGGTCTGCTTTACTCCCCTCCCATCTGGAGTTTATATGCATGCATGAGATCCCCCTGAGCCTTCCCTTCTCCAGGCTGAACAGTCCCATCTCTCAGCCCAGAGCCTCCCAGCTCCAACATCTTTGAAACATCTTTGTGGCCCTTTGCTGTGCCCACTCCAGTATGTCCGTGACTGGTACTGGTAAGCCCAGTAACAGCTATCAAGCATTCTGTTTCTCCTCCTGACTCTTATAATATGCTGATGCAGTTCCAAAGATACTTGAAAGCTTACTCTTTGTCCTCTGGCCTGTTTCCCGCGGTGTTGTCATTTCTCTGTCTACACTGATGGTGCAGGATGTGTTCCAGGGATGGCTTTCTGAGCAGCCACCTTCTGAGTGACCCTCTGGTTGCTCTCTTGGTTCAGGTGTTTTCTTAGTTGCCACTTTGCACCTCTTGCTCTAATTGTGGCTTCAGAATTATTTATTAGAAGAACCTGTTACTGCTTTGCATTTTCTAATGATTCAGAGGCTGTGATGCTCCCTTCTTGAGACCTCCTGTGCTGCACTGGCAGGGTGAGGTCATGCTGTGTGAGTGTCGGTCATGACCAAAGAATGTTCTTGGATTTTATTTTATTTTTCATACCATGTAAATCTTCTACTGAAACCTCAAGAAGTTAATCTCTTGTTTTCATTCCCTGTCCCCGGTCGATTTCCTTTTCAGAATGTGTACTTTTCAGAAGATGTAAGCATTAGGAACGTGCACTCCTAATTCTTGAGGTTTCTTTGCCTTTAGTAATAATCACGGTTCATCTGTGTGCTTTTATGTCTGCTTCTGAATAGATTCTGCAGATGGTAGTTTAAAACTGATCAGCAGAGGGGTTTGGAAGCACTTATGCAGACAGTGCTATGATTCAGAAGGCGGCATGGGGCCGGTCTTTTCTACAGAGATTTATAGCTGATAGGATGAGCAAAGTAGCAGGAAGCCACTCTGTAACTTCATGTTCCTTCTCTGATTAAAAAATATAAATTAAAAAAGATATATATAACAAATGAGTAAAAATAAATATGCATTAATATGTACATATACACACTGACCTTTGCAAACACTGCTGTCATCCTTCCTTTTGTCTGTCTTGCACTTTGACACTCCAAACCAAAATTCTTTGTAGCCTGGTTGTTTCTCCGTTTGTCCCCAAAACCTGCAATACTGCCCCTGGAAGACTTTTCTAGTTTAAAGTCATTTACTTAATAACATGTCAGGATTGAGAATCTATTAAATTCCCACCAGCTTTGTTGTCAAATCCCTCCACAAACGATGATGCGAACTGGTTTTTGGGTTGCGTAAAGCGGTTCAAAAAAAAGACTGAGAAGGCTCTGTTGGTAAAGTCAAATTTAGTCAGAGTGTCAGGCAGGGTGTGAGCTGCTATTCCTGTGATGGTGTATTGCTGCTGGTCTTTGAAGGTTTGTTTTCTGTTGCTCCCTTTTTAAAAGACAGTTTTAGAAAAGCCCTGCAAGTTGTTTTGTTCACGTGCTTCTCATTGGGCTACATTTAGACACAAAAAATATTAAAATAATGCACGATTAATCAAGTGGAAACCCATGAAGTTTTTACAGTCACTGGTAGTGTGTTTGACTTACTTTCCATGAGCAAAACCTGCTGGCCCTTGACATCCAGATAAGCTGATAAAGGAAACTCCACTCGAAAGTAGCTGAGCTGACCACATACTGTGGTGTAAATCTGCCTGCGTGATGTGCTCTCCTTCCATATGCCCAAAAAACATGTGAGTGAAGACTTTGTAGACAGAAAATGTCAGACCCCATGGCCTGGCTATAATTTGTGTTCCATCAGTGTAGAAACTCAGCAATGATTTCTCTGAAAAAGCCATTAAGAGCGAGAATTGTTTTGGCCAGGAGTGGGGGGGTGAGGCACCGCTGTGTCTCACTGCCTCGTGAAAACAGTTTCAAAGATTTAAGACACATATTTAAACAGTGCCTGCTATATTCTGGCTCTTGCTCGAATGCAGAAGGTCTGCATTTTGGGGTTGGCTGCTTAAATGATGAATCAGCTGTTCAGAGTTGCATGGGAAATGGGAAGCTTCTGGCTATTAGCACATTTCCTAAAAGCTCAGTAGGGAATGGGAGGGAGCAGAATGTATGTCACTCCAACTAAAATGACCCAATCCAGGAGAAATCTAGGGAAACTGTAAAACCAAACAAAAAAAACAACCCCAAAAAACAAAAACCCAAAAGAAAACAAACAAACAAAAAAAAAAGTGTGAATGCTTCAAGTTGCAAAGTGCAATTTTTTTATTTTTTTTTTCCTGCAGAGTGACCTGTGGTCTCTGGGAATCACTGCTATTGAAATGGCCGAGGGAGCTCCTCGTAAGTGATTTGGTGTAAAGGTGGTCTATGCTTTGTGAACACGTTCTGTGTTAAAATAACTCATGCTTGGCTAATGCACAGATGTTCACAATTCTGGTTCTGGCTGTATCTTTAGAAATAATCTGAGACTTTTTCTCATTTGGAGTCTTGCTTTCCTCTTCCTTTTAGACCATTTTAAGTTCATATTTTGATTCTTTGCCTTCATTTCCTAGGGAAAAGAAAACTTTTTCCTAGAGCTCTTGTTAGCATCACTGTGATCACTGCTTGTGGGTACAGCTAAGCAGAAGTGATTGACACGTTAGCACAAAAAAATTCACAAGAATGGCTTTGGCTTTAGGTCACTAAAAAAAAAAATATGTCAGTGGGAGAAGCTAGGGTTAAAGATCATATTTTGCTGTGGGACTGGCTTGATTCTCACAGGTTTTGGCATGAATACTGTATTTGCTCAGGTAATGGCTTCAGTCCATGAGCACGCGCTCAGCCTGACAGCAGATTGCTGTGGTTTCACAGCCTGCCCTCGCCTGCCAGCTGTCCCCTCGCTCCTCCGGTGAGCCCCTCGCAGCCATCCGCAGAGTTCCGCGGCTGCAGCGTGGATGCACAGACCTCATTCATTTTTGTTTCCGCAGAGGAGCAGTTGCTTTGCCCCACCGCCCACGAAGCAGATGTGATGTGACGGGGTATCCGGTCACTGCCGAGAGCACAGGAGATGAAATAAATTATACTCTGGGCTGAGCTCGAGAGCACGTAGGCTGTGTTTTTCAAAAACATGTTTGGCTGTTCTCCCTTGGTTTGAAGCAGTGCTCAGGAGCCAGCTGGAGGTCAGGAGCACTTTCAGACACTGTGTTTCAGCCTCGCTGAACCTTAGTCCTGGGACATGAGTCCATGGGGAGTTTTCCTCGAGACAGACTTCGTAGCTTTGCATGCTAGTTCCTCATGCTGCTTGTATTGATGTTTTTACTGGTTTTGGCAGGGCAATGCTATGGATTCTATTCTGTTGCACTGCATTCTGTTTACTGTAGTACAGCAGTGTCTGGGACCCATAGCTAGAAACCAGCCTTCTTCTGCCCCCCATCCCCACTGTATCACACGCTGTTGAAAATACAAAGGAAAAAAGACAAAAAGAGAACCCAGATTTGAGAAACGTGGTGGAGGCAGGTGGATGGAGGCAGAGAAAGGAATAGCAGGCAATATCAGTTGAAATAGAAGGAATATCAGTTGTCAATCAGTAGCTCTGTTTTGTGATGGAAGACCTATGACCCTCGATATTTCTCTGTGACAGATGGAGAACACTCATAATTCCATGCAGAATACCTGCCTTAGATGAGATGTGATGGTATTTACTTTTTTGCAGAGTTCTTTGTAACTTGGACTTTTCACAACAATAATACTAAAGAGAAGTACACTGGGCTGGAGAGAAACAAGCATCTGAATGCATGGGTGGGATCTGATGCAGATTGTCTAATAATGGTGCTCACACTGCGAAACACAGAAGAGATGAGATGTGTGCTTAGTCATTACACTGTGTGCCAGTGGCGCAGTTTATGAGCTCTGCACTTCACATCAGGTTTTCTTCATCCTGCATTTTCTCTTATGCCATGAATGATGCAGCTAAGAGTTTGGTTAAAATTTATCTGAACCATAAGCCAGACATAATAAACTAGAGAAGTAATTCAATCCCAACTTTAATTTCTGTTTATGCAGAAACACCCTTTGGTTTATTAGAAGGTTGAGCTTTTTTAATGTCCTTTTGAAGCCTTATATATAAAAAAAATATGAAGAAAGTTGTACCTGTTCTGCCATGCAGCCTTTCCTTCAAATCTCTTTTAGTTGGCAATAGCAGCATTTTGTCGTGAAGGATTTCTGTGTACTCAGAGGCTATTTCTTGGCTGTAGTGTGAATTTCGTTGATTAATGATGCGGTCCTGCGGCGGATGCTGTGCTGTTGGGAATGGGAGTGTTTGTGGAGGACTGCTCCCCTGTGTTGGGAGGACCAGGCTCTTGGCCCGGCTGGGTCAGCGTGGTCAGGCTGTGGGAGGGACACGAGGGGGTGGACATGCACTCTTCAAGAGCTTGTGGTTTCCTTTGCAGCCCTGTGTGACATGCACCCCATGAGAGCACTCTTCCTCATCCCACGGAACCCACCTCCGAAGCTGAAATCCAGAAAGTGGTAAAGAGATATGTAAAACCTGTGTTTTTGGTGCATCGCCCTTAGGAGGATTTTTAAGCTCTTGTCTAAAGACAGGGATCTTGTCAGATCCTACAGTGATCTGTGAGGTGTCTCCTAGGCTGTTCCTAGTGCTGGGTTAAGCCACAGATGCAGATGTAGTTTACTTTTGGGAAGCCACCCCTTTCTTTTGAACCTTGCCTAAACTGCAGCAGTCATTGCAGTTGCTAAAGTTTGTCATGGTTGGCTGAAACTGCAGTATAGGCAAGGCTTGGGTGGTCAGTGCTTTGTCAGAAGACTGCACGGACATTGTGGGGATAGTGGCAGTTGCTGTGGCCTGCAGAGAATTAGTTTGTCTTTTAAATGAAATGTATAAAGAAAATCTTCACTGTATCAAAAGGGTAGGGACCTTTTTGAAGGACTTGTGTTGGCCAGACTGTGGTTTTGTTGATCCACATGTAAATTCAGGGTAACTCCACTGAGAAGGGTGATGGGGGTGGACTTCCCCACCATTTGCCATCAGTGCTGTGCTGGTCTTGGGGGGGGACACTGGTGGAGAAGCTCAAATTGTCTCACACAGTTCTAGTGCAAAAGGAAATGTTGCAAAGTTAGTGCTTTCCATCACTCGGGGGTAGTGCTTGGCATGCAAGTTGAAAAGGATTATTGTTTTCCTCCACTTTTCTATCTTTTTCAGGTCAAAGAAATTCCTAAACTTTGTTGAAAGCTGCCTTGTAAAAAATTATTTACATCGTCCGTCCACTGAAACCTTGCTTAAGCATTCGTTCATCCGAGACATGCAGAATGAGCGGCAGGTGCGCATCATGCTGAAAGACCACCTGGACAGGACCAGAAAGAAAAAAGGAGAAAAGGGTAATGTGGCAAAAACAAAATAAAGGGCACTGAAGAGTGTTGATCCTCTTCTAATTTTGGCAGCAGAGTACAAAGCAGATGCAACTCAAATACTAGAACCAGGAAAACTGTGAGAAAGCGTTGTCCTTGATAGTGGTGGGGCCATTTGGAATCTCTTTGCCAAAGTCCAGGTCCTTAATGGTGTCTAAGTGCTAAAGTCTTTGGAGCCTGACTCTGATTCACTGAGAGCAACCCTAATGCTCATGGGAGTGAGGAGTCCAAGTAAAGTCCAGGTCCCTACTTTCTTGAGTATCTAAACAGTACTCAACGAGCCTTTCCTAGTCCCTTGGTTCATCTGTCTGTCCCTGATCCATTTAGTTTACCTTTTGCAGCTCCATATAATTTTAGCTTGTGAGTTCTTTGGGGGGCAGAAGTGCTCTTCAAGCCTTTGCAGTGGAGTGAAAAGAGACCTCGAGAAGCCCTCCAGGCTCCAGGAAAACACAATTGGATGTAGTGAATCATCTGCTTCAGGGGGTGGCTGAAGAACAAGAGAGAATCTGAGTTGGTTCCCAGTGCTAGCCTTACGCTTCAGAGCAGAACCTGGAAGAGAAGCAGTGCTGGAGTGGGGACGATACTTGTGTAAATGTCCGTGTACAGCAGAGTAAGGACCGTGCAGAGTGGGGAGAGAGCCCAGCCTGGTGACCAGCTGTTTTCCCTGCCCTCTGTCCCGTCAGGTTGTTGTGAAGATCAGCAACTGTGAGGGCAAACTCTGAAAGCGCTATACAGTCAGAAGGTGACTTATAAAGTCCAAGTTATTGATTTGACAACAGGAATATTTGTGCCTAAAATGAAATTGCTGTTGCAATGTAGATTTACTGGCTCCAATAGTAGTTGCAAATTCTGTCACCTCTTTCGGCTGTGAATCTCAAAGCACATTCGAATGGACAGCCAGCCAGTTAGTTTCTCTCAAATTCCCTTTGGGGGATGAGGTGGGGAGAATGCAATGTTACCAATTACTTCTTGATATGTGTTTATATTTTGACCTGAAAAGTAATATTTTTAATCAAAGCTCCCCTGAAAGGGAGAACAGTATGAAATTGCCAGACTATACGGTTCAAAATAGTGACTTCAAAAAAATTAAGTCCTGCTTTGGCATGCTATATAGGCAGCAATGCAGAGTAGGACCAGTTTGTAATTATCCCTTAAAAGCTGCATTCATATTAGTCTGGAAGAGAACTTTAAAAGTGTGAGTCAGCTGCTTCTGAAATGCTGTGCTAAAATTAGCATTAATTTATTATCCCTTTTTCTTTTTTAAATTATTCACCTTAGTACAAAAGGAAACTTGGATTTACTAAAGGCCTCAGCTTAGCCATATAACGGGCATACAACAGCAGAGAAGGGCAGTACAAGTCTCTTTTGTCCTGTCTAAATTTATTTCTGAAGAACCCGTCTGTTGATGTTGTTATGGGGGTTGGATTTCTCAGTGGGTTTAGCCTAATTTATTTCAGATTATGGAAATAGGTTGGTTTTGCAAAACCAATATAGTCGGTCAAGGGAAAAGGTGGGAGTGTCTGATGTTATGGGGGTTGGATTTCTCAGTGGGTTTAGCCTAATTTATTTCAGATTATGGAAATAGGTTGGTTTTGCAAAACCAATATAGTCGGTCAAGGGAAAAGGTGGGAGTGTGTAAAGGGGCTGTCCTGAAACATTATCTGAACCAGATTTTGAATTATGTATGTGGTTATCTTGCCTCCCCTCAGCCTCCCAGTTCAACCTGTGGCTTTTTAATTCCTGCAACATGTGGTTCAGGCTGAGTGCTCAGAAACAAAGTTCAAGATCATATCTTAAATAACAGCATCCTCCACTGGGGTTTGTTTATTGTTCTCTTTTTCAGAAGAAACGGACTATGATTACAGTGGAAGTGAGGAGGAAGATGATGAGCTGAATGAAGATGAAGGAGAACCAAGGTTAATTTTATTACTGGAACAGAAAATGTGACTGCCCAAGCTGTTGTCGTGGAAGGCAGCCCTCCTCAGCCAGCATGGCATTCTTAACTTGCTCTGAATCCCTTATCTCCCATATCCCCTCTGGGAGTTTAACTGTTTTGTAGCTATCAAATATAACTGCTGAGTGTCAGATGTCCATAATAAGCTGCTGCTTAGTTCCCCTGCAATAGGGAGGAAACTCTCCAATGAAGGACCCAATAACCAGCTTCGGGCTATTTTGTAGCACAGTAAGTGCAGATGCGTAGTCAACATGCTGGAGATTTATTGGAACATCTTAATTTGCTAACACAGGACAACAAGCAATTCCCAATACACCTTGTATTCTCTCTTTAATGTTATGTTTAGTCATGTAGAAACCTCCCCTCTGTTTCAGCTCCATAGTGAATCTCCCAGGGGAGTCAACGCTCCGCCGTGAATTTCTGAGGCTCCAGCAGGAGAACAAAAACCGTTCTGACCCTCATCGCCAGCAGCAGCAGCTGAAGGACCAGGAGAAATACAAGAAGCAGCTGCTGACAGAGCGGCAGAAACGGATCGAGCAGCAGAAAGAGCAGCGGAGGAGGCTGGAGGATGTAGGGACTGGCTTGTTGTTCCATGTCTCATCACAAGTGAAAAATGTGCCTGTAGAGAGTAGGTTTTGAAAGGCAAGGCGGCTGTGTTAAACTGTCAGCACAACCTGGATTGTAGCCTTTAGCCTTGGGAGAAGTGTGTCACTTTTGAACACAGTGATCTTAAATTATTTTAAATGGGCTCTGTCCTTTTCCTGCTGACAACCTGCCCTGAGGCTTGGGAGTGGAAGAGGAGGGGCATTTTGCTGGAATGAGTTGGACGGTGGAAGCTGTCCGAAGGCAGATGGGATGACAGATCCCAATTTCTTTCACATGTGCATTGCCCAGTTCAGAGTCTGTCTCATCCTATGTCCCGGCCTTGTGTCTGTTTAGGATGTTACAAGACAGCTACAGCCTTTTCAGCTGTCCAGCACACTGTGGTGTTGCAGGCATTCCTAAATCACCACCGTGTCTCTTCTCATGACTATCTGATGAGATACAAGCACTGTGCAAAAGCTCCTAAGCAGCATTGTGCTGCTCCAGCAAAATGAGGGGACTCTGGAAAAACCCTTCCTTCTCAAAATAACGGGAAGACATTTGTCATTAGATTAGCTGCCAGCCATCATGGGGATCTTGCATGCCTGCTTAAATGAATGGCAAAAACTGCCCTCAGCTTCCAAAAGGGCAAAAGGTTTCACTTCGAGTTTGGCAGCCGTCGTGGTGGCAGCCTGGGGCTGTGCAGTGTGTTGGGTGTCCCCTTAGTGACTGCACAGCAGGAAATGGCCCTCGTGACTAATGAACACTGGCACGAGTAATTGGTGGGTACAAAAGTAAAGCAGCATGAGCAGTGTTATTCCCTGGCTCTCTTCCAGCACCAGAGGCGAGAGCAGGAGCTACGAAGGCAGCAGGAGTGTGAGCAGAGGTGGCCGGAGGCTAAGGCTGCTCACAGGAAAGAGGAGAGGTGTAAAGAAGACAAAAGGGCTGTGGAAGATGAACGGTTCATAGCAGATGCACAGAGGAAATCAGAAAAGAAGCAGGTATGAGAAGAGTGTATACTGACAGCAGTTCACAGCTCCCTGTTCCTGCAGCTGATGTCTTTCTCAGTTCCCTGGGGTTGTTCCCACCCTCTGAGTCACTGACCAGAGAGGGACTTTTTAAATGCATTTACTGCCTCTTGTTCTTGGATTCAGCCTTCTTCTGAGTTAACTTGGGTGTTACTGAGTCATCCTAATCTGCAGCAATGACACTGCCTCTCTCACTTCTGTCCCTGCCCTTTCTCCATGCTGAAATGGTCTTTTGTCACTTCAATCTGATTTAAAATAACTTCACCCTGAAAGCTTCCAGCATCAGCTCAACTTAAGCTTTAATCACTAGTCTTCAGTTTCTGTTGGGGTTGTAACAAGGAACATTTATTTTTCACAAATAAAAATGGAGCAGGGGTTATTTTTAATGCTGAAGTCTCATTGTCGAGTCTGGCACCTTCTCCACAATGTTTTTCTAATGTTTCAGCAGCCAGCTGACTTGTAATCAAACAGAATCATGGAGTGTTTGATTAAAGCCCTCTAGTTTTAGGAAAAGTAAAAAGACAAAATATGATTTTCTGATGTGCTGTCTCAAAAGCCAAACTCACTTTATGCTTCCTGTTGCTCAGGGTTGTGGCTCTTCTGTCAGCCCTCCTGCAACTCTGCTCGTTTTTTCTTTGAAAAGACAGGATTTCCAATATTTTCAACTTGGTTGTCCTCCAAGGCATTGTTCTGTCTGAGGTTCATCAAAGTGGAAGATGTGCAGCACAACAGGAAGGTGCATCGAACTCTCCCCAAAGATCAGACACAGCTGCTGTCTCTCCAGCATGACCACAAGCAGAAGAAGAAGGAGCCTTCCAGGAGTTCCAATTCAGCAGCACATCCTCCATCAAGCAGCACGAGCAAAGAGGTACCATCTCGGCCAATGAAGCATTTTGGTGCTTTGCAGTTTATGATGCTGTGGTAATGCTGAAGCAGGGAGCTGGCTGATCTTTAAACCTAAGTCTGGAGCTGGACCTGTGTCTTACTACACACTTATGCTACAGTAAAGCCTTTGGTTTCCATTGATGTAGAGGATAAGGGGAAGGGAAGTTCAGATAAGGGGAAGGAGTTCAGAGAAGAGTTTGGCTGGTGAATGAGGAAACAAGGTCCTTCTGGTCAACTGGATGTCATTCTCTTGTCTTCTGAAGAGGAAGGAATTAAGGTAGTATCGTTTAACAGATGTCTTTGCCTGATTTGAGGGTTCACAAAACTGATCCAGACACAGAACGGGGTCACGCCTCCCAAGCACAGATGTACACCAATGTCAGGCCGTGATACCTTTTCTAGTTCTCTGTCCCCCGGCATTTTAGGTAGATAAAATTTGATGGATAAGGGATAGCCACGTTCACTTCATTAAGTTGTAATCCATTTTAGTCTTTTGCTAACTCTGCCCACAAACTTGTTCTGCTTACTTTTACCATATTGTGAAGTCCATTTCACATGTGTTATCTATCATTCCTTCCTTATTTTTCTTTTTGATACAATCCCAACTTGAGAGCCCAGTTCTACAGCTGGTGCAGTTTGTTGTGTTACTAAAGTCTGGGTCCATGTCAAAAATCTCAGCAGCTCACAGGTGCCTCCTCAGGGGTGGCTGTGTCTAAGTAGAACAGTAGATGTGACAATTTCTGCATTCATGGCAAAGTATCTTCCCAAAATACCCAAGCAAAGGCATGAGGAGAGCTCATGCACATGTGTGTAGGAGGAACACAGGGTGCTGCTGGTTAGCATCTTGCTGCAGTCTTTAAGCAAGTGCTGTCCTCGTCACCTCTTCGTGTGTGCATGCGTGCTGCAACTGGTTCCCTTAGCTGAAATTTTCTATATTGATAAACAATTAAATGAAACTGCTAGGATTGTTGAAATAATGAATGTTAATAACTGAATAGTCTGCAAATAGCTAAGCAGCAATATGAAATCAGGAACACAAAAGATCTTAAGCTCCTTGTTAGAGTAGCAGTTTGTAAAAACAAGAGAATAATTTTGTTTGGAGTACAGCTTCAGTGTCAAAAACCCAAATGCCCTACCTCCAAAGGCTTTCTTGCATGGACTGATTAAACAAATCATTACTGAAATTTGAATGAACTACTCTTGAAATCAGTATTTGTTTGAGGCTAGAGTGCTGGGTCATTTTCCAGCTGGGGAGTAAATTGGGTGTGGACAGAGAAGTAAGCTGCTTTTGCAAAGTACACAACATCAAAATCAATAGAAATGCTTTGCCTTTGCTAGGCTTTTGGTGGGTGGGGAGAAAATGCAACTCAGTTGAGTTAATTTAACTTTCTTTTCTACTTCATTGTAGTTAGAAGTCAAAAAAACTGCAAAATGTCAGCTTAAATACTCATCTCTGGTTTTGACATGTGTTTTGTAAATGACCCCTTTGTAGCAGAATGGAGTTAATTATGGAATTTAGTGTGCAGTCACTGTTAACTTTTAGTTTAGTGGTGAAATAAAATATTACTAGTTGCTGATAAAGTGCTGTCTGCCTTTCAGGTTCACAGCACAAGGCTCTTGTTGTTATGGCTACCATAATGTACTCCAGTTTTAAGGACAAATTATTTTACAGTATTGTTTAATCTCAGAACTACTTGGAAGTCAGAAATCCTCCTACTAAAATCATAATTAGTGGTACAGGGTTGCATTCTTCAGTTGAAGTTTGAGACCTCACAATTACGTCAGCAGTCATAATTGTTCACAACAATTTAAAAATGCTTTAAAGTTTGGACTGTTTTAACAGTGGTGACTCAGTGAACTTTTTCTTGTTGACTTGGATCTTTCCCAGTTTATTAGCCAAAGAGATGCTAGTTTCTCTGTTAGGAGAGATCTCCACAGCGATAGAGATGGGCTACTCGAGAGTTCTTTGTTTTTATACTTTTTAGGGCTCAGTGGCATTTGTAGGACCAATTACAGAAACTGTCCAGAATTACTGTTGCATTGAGGCATTAAAAACAAACAAACAGACAAAAATCCCTGAACACCTCCAAAGCCTCAAGTTTCATGTGCGGGGCCACAGAACCCTTTCTTGGGAGTTCTTTGTCTTTGCCATTGCACCCATCCTGTCGCAGGCAGGGCAGGTTGCCGCCAGAATTATTGTTGCATTGAGGCATTAAAAACAGACAAAAAACCCTGAACACCTCCAAAGCCTCAAGTTTCATGTTTGGGGCCACAGAACCCTTTCTTGGGAGTTCTTTGTCTTTGCCATTGCACCCATCCTGTCGCAGGCAGGGCAGGTTGCCGCTGGTGTGTGCAGATGTGAGCTCGCTCTGTGCTGTGTCTGGTCCGATGGGCACTGGAGCGAATGAGCTGAGTGGCAAGGAGTCCTCGCTCGGGCTTGGTGCTGCAGTGGGTCATTGCCTGGGTTGGGGGCTGGTGTCAGTTCTGGGAGCCCAAAGTGTCACCTGCATGAGTTTGCATCTGGATCATAATATATTGTACGCCAGCACCCTTTGGGCAATGAGGTGGCGGGTAAATTATCATATCTGTCTTAGTGAAACCACTCTAATTTTTACATTTTCTTTCTTGCTTATGATAAAATTTGCCTTTGATTATTAGGAGTTGCAAGCAAGGAAAATCTGGCCTCAAGAGTAGTATAACGTTCTGGTTCACTGGGGCTAGAATTTCATGGTATTTGGCTGTGGTTTCTTGTTTGAATAAGGTTTTCTGTGGGTTGGTTTTTTTTTTTTTTGGTGGTTTTTTTTTCCCCCAATCTTGAATCCGTGAGACTAAGTGGAACCATTTTCCATCTCCTCAGCAGTTTCCCAGGCTGTGTTAAGAATATGCTTACCTTCCTGACGCCGGCACAAACATCCAGATTTAGTGAGAGATACCATTAAGAATGCCCACCCAGACACACATAACTAGGTGGTTTTATGGCATTAATCTCTAGTTGACTGTGTAGAGCTGTTTCTAGGCTGCTGAATAGGAGGATATGCTAAAGATTTATACTAGAGAATGGGAATGAGTCATGTTGAATGAAACTGGAAAGAGCAGTGGGGTCAAAAACATAGGATAAAGATTATAGTAGTGAGCAGTGCCCTCAGGAAGTAAAAGGACCTTTATTCCTTATAGATCATGTTCCTCCATAGTGCAAGGAACATACCAAAAGGGAGTCTTAAAAGTGCTTTAAAGTAGGAAGTAACACGCAGTAATGTCAGCATTGTAGAAAGGGGTAATAAACACACAGCAAAACAGGCTGCATGTTGTCAAAGAAAAGCAGATACAGACAGATGATTCCTCCCAGCTGAAATCCCAGCCTGCAGCACATGGGATTGCCTGGAAGACAGCAGATGGCAACTCAGGCCCTTTTACTTGCTGCAGTTTGGAAACTTGGTGGAAAAGGAAAGGTTGCAAATGGAGGGGCAATAATGGTTCATATTGTGCCAGGGCTGACCTCTCCCCGATGGGGAGGTCCATCAGAGTCAATGAGCACTGTATTGCTGTTGGAGAACATCCTGGCAAAGGCCAAAGCTCAGTGTTCAACATGCTGCTGCTTTTCTCCTTACCAGGCCGAGGACCGAAAAAAGACAAGTGACAGCATCCAGCCTTCCCTGCAGTGGCCAGCGGTGCTGGGGCACGACGCCACGCCACACACCAGGATGGGGTCTGGCAGCAGTTCCAGCCCGTGCACCCCCGCGCCGCAGAGAGCCGTGTTGGTGCAGGTACGGTACTGCTGCCGAGAGCTTGGGTCGCTCCGAACCAGAACAGTGCATCAGAAACCCAGTCCCATTCACTCCTGGCACAAATGACTGAGGCCCATGCAAACTGGCTCAGGGGTTGTTAGTGCCACCATGTGCTGCTAAGTTCTACGTGGAATTCTACTTGGTCACTGCAGATTGGAGTTAGATAACAGTTATTTTTATATACTTGATGCCTGATTGCTGATTCCGTGATATAAGTCGTAGAGGTTTCACAGAAACTGAATGGCTGCGCTCTTGCAGCCCCTGGATGAGGTGTTATTTACATGACACCAAAAATCTATGTGGCACTTTACGAAACAAATCCAAAACCAGAATTTTTATCCCTGGAGACTATATACACAAGCAAAATTGTGATTTTATTAAATAATCTCGAAATACATGAAGATGCAATAGGGACGGATGCAGAGTCAGATTTTGCCTGTGGATAGAGCCCAGAAGGTCTGTGACGTGAAAAATGTCAGTATTAGAGGTGGAAGTGGTACCTAAACGGCACCTGTACAGTGAAAGCACGCTGATAAAGTTGTGCATTGGAATCCTTCTCTCAAAACATCTTAACTCCTGCTATTTCTGCCAGTTCTGGGAGGGGTGGTTCAGGGTTCTCACAGTGTGCCCAAAAACTCATCTCCTTTCAACATCCTACTCTTTCACAGTATATGAAATAAGTAGCTTAGACTGCAGCTACTTTTTTTCTCCAGTCTCTCGTGAAGGGACTGTAAGCATATGTGAGCAAAGGAAAAACAAGACAGCATGTAGCAACGGGATAAACTGTCGTAAGTGTGAGCACAGCTCATTGAAGCTGGAAATCTCCCCTTGCTTTGGAAACATGCAGTGGCAGGAATAATCTTATTGCCTTTACAGTTCCCCACAGCACTGCATTCATTCATCCCCTCCATGAGGATATACAATCATAGCACTTGTTTTATTCTTGGCAGCTCTCGGTTTGTGCTGGACTCCTGAATGGATGGATGTACAGCTTCTGATCCATTTCTCTGTGGCTTCTGTACGATTTCACTAGTGGCATTCAGGCCAGGCTTAGGCATTGTGTGTGTGCTGCTGTGTAATCTTCTGGCCTCTTTTCCTTGTGTGGTGGATCTTGGAGTCAAAGGGGGCAGGTCAGACTGTGGAGGAGGGTGTCGTGCTGCCCACCAAGCAGGGCGGGCCCTTGTATTTCTTTGAGGCTACCTGTGATTATGGGTTATTGCCATGAGGTTAGGGTGTATTATCCCAAGCTTGTCTTAAACTCATTGCTGGCCACTCAAAACTTGCTTGGCATGAGCTTCTGGTGAACATACTGCATGGAAGGTCATAGAATCACAGAATAGTTTGGGTTGGAAGGGACCTTTGAAGGTCGTCTAGTCCAGCCCCCTGCAGTGAGCAGGGACACCTTCAACTAGATCAGGTTGCTCAGAGCCTTGAATGTTTCCAGGGAGGGGGCATCTACAGCCTCTCTGAACAACCTGTTGCAGTGTTTCATCACCCTCATTGTAAAAAAATTTCTTCCTTATATCTAGTCTCAATCTACCCTCTTTTAGTTTAAAACCATTAGCCCTTGTCCTAGTGCAGCAAGCCCTACTAAAGAGCTTGTCCCCGTCTTTCTTATGAGCCCCCTTTAAGTACTGGAAGGCCGCAATAAGGTCTCCCCACAGCCTTCTCTTTTCCAGACTGAACCACCCCAACTCTCTCAGCCCTTCTTCATAGGTTCAGTGTTGCATCCCCACTGGCAGTGCTGTCTGTTACCTAACTCAAGAAGTTATCCTTGATGCACTCCAGGAGTCTCCTGCATTGCCTACAGCTCACCATGCTACTTTTCCAGCCGATGTGGGGGTGGTTGAAGTCCCTCAGCAGGATATTGGTCCTGCCTTAAGAAGCCAGATATGAAAGCGCCTTAAAAATCACGCCCTCATCAGCAGCCCCGATACTGGCCACGTCAAGCTCAGCATGTCCTGAGTCAACCCTTTTCATAGCACCGTTCTCATGTTCTGCCTTTCCTCAGGCTGTGCTTCCCAAAGCACTCCATAGCTCCTCCTTCCTCAGGAGTCAGGGTCCCTGTGGATCAGGCTCCCTGGGTCCTTCTGCTTCTGTTTGTGACCTGGAGCAGGTCTGTGGGAGGCAGGTGATAGCTGGCTGTTACAGCCTTTAAGGGAAAGCCTCCCTGTGCCTTTCCTGTTCAGGCTGCTGTTTGGTGATGGTGCAAAAATCACCATAGACAGCTGTTGGGAGGGGAGCGGCCCTCTTTCACCTGAGAGCTTTTACCTGGGAAAATATTTGTGTATCTTCTCACATCCTTTTTTCCAGGGCCTGTTTGTCATTTTAAGGCATGAGTATTGTTACCAGGCTGAGTGGATGGCCTGGCTTGTAGCATCTAATCACTGGAGAGCTGTTGCAAGGTCTCCAAGAAGGACATTTGTGTCTTAGCCTTGAGCAGAGCTGTCAGCTTCCTTGAGGAAAATATTTCAGCCCTGCCATAGATATGGAAGAGTTCATAGTTTATTTGGGATTCTGCAGGAGCACAGTAACTGTACAGGGGATAGTCCCGCTTCCTTAAAATGCCACTCCCAGGATGGAAGGAGCTATGTTCTGGGCTGGCAGCATCACCTAGGACGAGCCACTTCGTTCCTCTGCACTCCATCTTCTCTGTTTGGTGGTACCTCTCCCAGCTGCCAAAGGGAGCGGTGAGGAATGAAGCAGCATTTACCAACCCCTTTCACATTCCTTGACAGAAACTACACTATCAAAAATTTATTCTGTTTAAAGTGCTGGTATTACTTAAGGCTAATAGCAGCAAGTGATGCACAGTCATTACCGTGTGGTTTCACTGCCTGCTGGCAGCTGCCCTGTTGCCCACTCACAAGTCAGTGCTCCAGCTGATAGAGCCAATCTGTGCTCTTACCTGCTGTGTTTGCATGGAGACCAGATGAACTTCAAATGGGTAATTTATAAATCCTCTGAAGGGTTGTGTTTCCTTTTGCTGGTTGGCAGCAGCTGGTGATGCTAATGGTGGCATGTTTGGATGTGCTGCCTGCATTAACTGCATGAAGCGTTAAGGCAGTATGAGTGATGGGCCCGTTAGTCACCGGGAGATTAAAAGACTCACAGCAATATACTTGTGAAGTTCAATACTTGGGAGCCTTGTTGATTTAAAATAAAAGTGAACTGCGGAGTTAAAATGCAAGCTGAATTCATCACAGATGTCTGTGCTGAAGAACTTCCAGCCAGGTTTGTCAGAGAGGGATCCTCTGTCATCACTTCTCTGCTCAGACAAAAATGACTTCTTATTTTAAACGATCGTATTCTGTGAGATTTTCTGGCACATCCTGGTTGCCCAAATATATCTCAAAATTATTTCACTGGAAATCTTAATACAGCTTCTGAGATGCAGGGAGGATGATTTCTCGGTGTCTTGTGTTCTATCTGTCTGGTAAGAGAAATGTGAGATATTACAGATCAGAGTGTACCACTTCCACGTGTTTTGTACCTGTTTTGTGTTTGCTGCAGCACGGTAGCAGATCGGGCTCTCTGGTTGTGGTGATGTGGGATGAGCCGTTCTCGGCTACCTGCAGAATTTCACAGGGACTTCTTGAACAAAGTCGCTGAGTCTGTTTCTCTGCGCAGCATCTCCTGCTGTCTGACTAGTGGAGGAGTTGAGCTCACATCTTAAATGGACTTCAGTTTTTAATTGACTCTGTGGTTTTCCTGTAGGATTTGCTGGCTAGATCTCCTCAATTGTCTGGAGTAATGTGGCTGAAACAGAACAAGAAAGCTAACAGTATTAGAACTAGCTGTGCATTAGGTCATGGATTGACCCAGTATCCCAGAGTAGATCCACTGAGAAGTTTATGAAAATCTTTTTCCTTATGCTGTTTTTCTCCTGCATCTTTTTAAGCTAACTCTAATAATCAATCTTTTGTACTATATCACCTTATAATTCTTAGGAAGCAAAGGGTCCTTTTCCTTGGCTCTGCTACGTGTGCCTTTATGGTTCAAAGATACATAGGGGTAACACTTTGTCTGCCAGTTGTTTCTGTGCATGAGAGGAGCTGCTGTTCTTTCAGAATTACTTATAATAAAAACAATTTAAGGCTCAAGTCTCAGTAGTTTAGAATCATTGTTAGGGTTTTTTAAATTATTTTTTCTCCCATACAAAGTGTTTTTTCTGTAAAACTTGGGAGGAATGTCAAACCCTATAATTCTGGGGGTTATCAGAGACATTTTTTGTCTTGCTATGGAATTGCAAGGTCTTGTAGGTCCTACAGGAATCATCCCAAAAGCAGGTGTCACTTCTTAGCTTTACATGGCAGTGTACTGGTCTCTTCTCGGCCCAAAGGAGGTATGTGGGCACTGTCTGCAGAGATTGGATTCAGCCAGTAACTTATATAATGCTTCAGCAAAGCTCGTCCATGCTTTTAAGCACAAATTGTTTTCTGGTAGTCTGCAGGACTCAAAAGCTGGAATTTAGGAAGAAAGGTAAGAATCTTGTTGAAAAAGTGTCAAGAAAAAACAAATCTTCCTATATTCTGATAATAATACACTTGCTATAAAACCTGTTCTGTGCCCACAATGAATCATTTCAGGGAACACTTTGCTGCTGAAATAATTCTAGTTAACTAAAAACTATTATTAGGGACAATCATGTTGGACAAAAAAGTAATTTTGACAAAAAGAAAGGACACGGATTATGAGATGTTATAACTGCTGAAAAAGCTATTTTCTGTAACGGGAGTCAACAGAACATATTGTCCTATAACAGCAGGAAAAGCAGCTGAATATTTAACTAGGTGAACTTTTTTGACAGTTGGCTTTCCTATGCTGGAGTGGCAGGTTGTGATGGGACATTTGAATGGACATTTGGCATCTTTAGTTTTAGAATTACCCCCTGTCAATATTTAAGTGATTTTGAACATTGTTCCCATGATATAATTAATCTTGTAGAGTTATAGGGAGTTGATAATCATATTATGTTATTGAAAAGCTGTGCACAGTTCTCAGTTACTGTGTTTTTCTTTTTAAGACTGAGGAACTGGAGAATTTTATAGACTTGGGCTGATAAATCAATAAAATATTCATCCGAGTCCTTTCTTGGGGAAACTGGACTGCAGCTGCCTCTGATCTGAATTGTAGTAACTCAATTGGGACACGAGAGTTTGAACTTTGTCTCAGACAAAAATTTCCAGCCTCTTTCTTAGGCCTTAATGTGGTAGGGATGCTGGTCTTGCCGTGCATTTGAGAAAGAGGTGCCTCCCAGCAGAAGTGTGTCAGCGTGCCGGGACACGGGCTTCCTCCCGACCTGGGAAGGACGTCAGCCTGTGGCATTCCCGCTGGCTGCGGGTGTCTCTGGAGAGCCTTGATCCGGCTTTGCATGGAAGGTCTGACAAGATAAAGCACAGAGAGGTATAGCTGCAGGCATTTCTCTAGTATTTTTTCTATTTCTGTAACCTCAAATTGGTTCTAGCGTAGCGATCCCTCAAGACGGGCCAGCTCACACAGCATTGCCGTGTGTTCTGTCTCGGTCTTGTGTCCAAGAGAATTTCTCATTTCAGGGAGGATCAGTACATTCAGTTGACAGTTTTAGCTCTCTTCCCTTCTTCCCCTTTGGCAGATGCTGGTGTAAGAAGTCATTGGTGTGTAGAATTTCAGGGACCTTTCCTTCTTTTATTTTTCTTTTATTTTTCTTTTTTTCTTTTAAATACAGAAAGAATCAGAGGACCAAATTTTGAGTATTTTAGCTTGAGTTTTACACTGCTTGCTTGTTGTTCCCTTGGAATTAAGACTTTGTAAGGAAGTTATTTGATTGCTGCCCCTCCTCTTCCCCCTGTGATTAGGGCATTTGCTATCCTAATGCTCTAGTTTGATGCCTTTGAAGACATCTTTTAAACACAGTCGCAATGGGAGCACCTGGACATGGCTACCCATGAGGTGTAGTCTGACCATAGTTTCTTATTTCCTTCTTACTGCATTCTCAGGTTTGTTTTTTTCAAGTAATTGAAAAAATACATTAAGAGAGGAGGGCTGGGGCACCCTCTTAGCCATTGGAGTGTTGAAAGCGCTTCCAGCTGGCGGTTTCTCTCCACTGATCCTAGGTTGATGGTGAGGTTGCACAGACTGGTTTGGAAGTCAACATCTAACTTAGGGGAGTTGGGTTGCTCCAGTGGTTATACTATCTGAATTCTCAAATGGAAGCATTGGTCATGTTGGAATGAAATATACCTACTCAACAGCAATTTTTGCATTATCCAGTTAAGTAGCTCACTGTGCATTGCCCATGACCTATTAACTTCTCCATAGATTTAAGAAGGGAAGAAATATGTACAGTATAGATAGTTTTACTATTTCTTTTTATTGTACCCTTCACCATGAAATATTTGTGCCTAACATGCTAATATGCTGGAATTAATAACTTCACAGTGAACAGGGTGAGTAGGGCAATATCCAAACACAATAGTCCTTGTGTGTTTACTAAAAATTTGATCTCTCAAAGAGAACCATTGATATCTGTTGAGATTGGGACCTGTTACAGAGGCAGGGAAGTACAGTTCATCATGTGTTTCATTTGTTTCAAGTGTGAAAATTTCCGGGCTAGTAAGGATGTGTACCACAGCAGTTCACTGTCAGATATGGTGATGACACCCCTCAGCCCTGTGCAGGATGACGTGTTCTGGAACGTGAGTCAAAATGAAGAACAGCCCCCAAAGGTATGTGAAACTTGGGGTGTTTGGCACTGTTGGTGGTTAATAGCACTCCTGCACTGTGTAGTCTCCATCCTCTGGAATTCTTGAACCCATCTCATTGTTTGTACATTAACTGGGCCTGGTAATCTAGAAAGAAGATAAAAATTTATTAGCAGGTCGATGTCCTGAGTTTGCATGTATGTATGTAATAATCTGCAGGATCTGTGAACGCAGATGCACTTCTTTTGTTAAACTAAGTATTTGTAGCTGCCCTTTCTGTGAGAAATCTGGCTTCTTGCAGAAAAGCTCATTAGTTTGTGTAATTCAGGTGATGGTATATTTACCTTTTTAACAGAATTTCTAAAACCAAGAATATTTGTGCAGGGACGTGTATGTGCGTGCATGCGTGTATCTATTTTATTACTTTGCCCTTGAAGTGTGTGTCTGTGTCTCTCTTACCCCATCCCTGTGGTAACAACATAAGGTAATCCACCACCGAGGGAAAGCTGCATTAAGTGACTGCAGATGCGTTTCCCTGTCTGCTTTAAATATTGACCAAGAATAATGCTGACTCTAGGGAAAGGTGCAAACCACTTGCAGTCTGTGCCCTGATAGATTGCACAGGCTTGGAGCAAATTGGAAGCACCTGCTGCTGACTTGCAGCTTCCAGTGTTGATATCATGGAAGACCTCTCCACAGGTCCCGCTGGAGGATTATTCATTTATGTTGGTTAGTCTTATTTTTGCATCGATACAGGGTAAGCATTAAATTTATTAACTGAGTCTAAAATATCAGTAGCAAACTTAAAACATTTGATCCTTCAGGTTCCAGAAAGGACAACCTCTAAATTTTACAGCAGGGATCAGCCTGGCCATCAGAGATGCCTTTCAAGGTAAGCTCTTAAACGTTTTCTGCTTATGCTAACGCTGATTTATTGTCAATAGGAAAACTAGAGCAAATTTATTAAAAACAAAGCCATAACCCCAGTAACACCAAACTGACATGGGTTCCTACCTCATTTAATAGCAGTTACAATTATTTTGCCTTTTGAGTCAGCGTGTCCACAAAAATAACTAGCTAAACTTCCTGACCCTAAACCTGAAAGAAGGCGTGTAAGCCAGCTTCCTTCTAACGGCTGACATAACTCATCTGAAGATAAACAAGCCTCTTGTACATCTCCTCCTCCTTTTCATGCAAGGTAGTTCTGTGTTCTGCTGGAATGCAGTATTTTTAATATGTAAGGGCTGTTCCATCTGTAATAATTCCTGCAGTGAGTTGTTTCATTTGGTTCAGCCTGTTTGGCGTAGCTGAGTGGGTTGCACACAAGTTGTGCGTCCATTTCCCAGTTAACAGGCAGCGTGTTGTGCAATCATTCAACATTCAGCTGTGATTTGGTAACGCTTTACTTTCCCTTCACATTACACTAAGTGGCTGCTGAAGGTGCAGGTTACTTGAGATCCAAGCCTGTTGGCACTGATGATGGCAGGTGGGAGTGGTGCTGATCCGGGCTGCCTGGATGCTCTTGCAGATGTTCTGCATCAGCTCTGGTGCCATTGGTTTCAAAGGGGAGTTAGGTGCCGGGATGCTTTGGTGACTGCAGATCTGGTCCCAACTCCCTGTCTAGGCACTTATAATTACAGGTTGTGAAGCTTGTGCCTGTAGCTTTGTTTTGCCTGGTAGTAGCTTGAACAGGCAAATATACCATCTGTAGATGTATCTTGACTATTTTGGCAGTCTGCCCTTAGGGCTAGTGTACTTTTTTCACATCCCAGGAGAAGAAAACCAAGGATGCAGAGAGCTGAGCAGTAAAGGGTAGCCCCCACAGGATGTCTGATCGGGGAACATAATGCTGTGAGAAACTAGGGCTGGAGAGATTTGAAAGGGAAGTAGATTTAGCTGACATAACAAAATAACGTGCAGCACTTCTGATAAGCCAGAGTTCAGAAACATCATCTGAAATAGCTTTCAAGTGAAGTCAAGCCCTAAATAGTCTCTACTTAGGAATTATAGGAAGCAATGCAGAAAAGGAACATGTAAGCAAACCACAGCATTCCAAGTGAGTGGCTTCTGAGCCTGGGTTTTTGGGTGAGACGCTGTTCTACTTCACAAGCTTGGCAGCTGGTTTTACTGTCCGACGTGTTCCTTTCTCCATTGATAGGTGGGTTATGATATCTTATAGGAGGGTACTGGAGCAGGTTTCCTTATTTGTAAAATCCATGAGATTTTGGAATCGGGAGTGACGCAGATCTGAAGAGGCAAAGGGAGGAATACATATTTTGTAATGACTTGGGAAATCTCCCAGAATGACTGCCCAAAGGAAACTGTCCCCTCCTTCTTCTTTCACTACTGGGTGGCCCTACTTGGAGCAGCAATTAATATAATTTTTTTTGTTTATCAGGAGTATTATATCATACAGTAACAGCAGGGAACTCTATTCAGTAGACCAGGAGGTCCGTTCCAGTCTGTGTTCCTGCGTGCGAGATAGTTTGATCTCCTTTTTGTCTTTCTGTTTAGTAACACTCATCAGTCATCCCCCGGGGGACATGCTCTGAAGCTAAACAGCAGCAGCAGCACTCCTGGCAACAAGCAGTGGGAGATGGGATCTCATCAGAGCAGCTGGTCAACCTCAGGTGATTCCCAGCTCAAGGATTCATCAGTCAAAATGTGCAAAATTCCCGTCATATGAAACCGGCTTCTGCAGGGTGTCAAGGGTTGAGTTGCAAATGGGATGTTTTTTTAATGATGCCTTCTGGTGATAGGCTTTTGAAAGGATTTTATGGTTCCGTGTTCCTAAAATATAAACACTTTCTCTTTTGAGTCAAAAAGTGACTGTGAACATGTTTCCTTATAGAAAAATTGAATTGCCTCAATTAAGAATTAAAAAAAAAATTGTTCTGTTGCACTTACTGACACCATTGAAACTCATCAGAGACAATATTGCAGACAGACAGATGTAATTCAGTACTAATGTTCACCCATTGGTGTTTTCTGCAGAACCATATGCTGCTTTTTTTTTGCATTGCCCACTGATAAGGTGATAAAGATGAGCAGTTGCTGTACACTGATATTTCTGCATTGTAATACTGTACTGGCTGAAGGAAGCATAAGACTCTCTCTACAGCACCTTATGAAATCTATGCTCCAGTATGCTTTTATTTGCAGAAAGATAGTGGAACTGAAAAAAAAAAAGGCAAAAGTTCAAGTGCGGCTTTGTAGGCTACCTTGGTATCACTGGTGGTGGTGTAGGTAACACAGTGGGCTCGCTCATGATCGTGCAGATTTTTTGCAGGATAGACTCTGGTTCCTCAGAGATGACCTGAGATTCTGGCAGATGGGGACACGGAGCGGAAGCGGACAGCTTTGTTCCTCTGTTGCTATCCCTCAGGGTGTTTTCTGTGGGTCAACTGTAGAGCAATTTCTTGTGTAACTCCTTGCAGAGCAGTGGTGTGTCGCAATGCTTTGCATCCAGGTTGACTAATAAAGATAGGGACATGGGGAATCACGCCCAATTTGAAGCAGGGTGGATGCTAAAAACATTCTGAAACCACACCGGTGAGCTGCTGAGGTAATTTATTTTTAAACCAAGGCTCACATTGTTAATTTGGAAGCCCTTGATAAATGAAGAACAAATTGCTTATTTATTACAGTTACACAATCAAGTCAGTTTTGCTTTCGCTAACTGCACAGAACTGGAAGCTTTGCTTCAAGAGAAATCCAAAGTGCGCTTTAAACTGCTTGGGTTTTGTTGCTTTTTGTTCTTATGTCATTTTATGTTTGAATAACAGCATAGAGATGAAAAACATGCAACAGCCCAGCTCGACTTTGCAATGTCTGCGTGATGTGTAGCTCCTCCATGTGCTATTTTGGCATGGGGAAATGAAAACCTCACCAGCAATGGAAAGAATAGAAAACCTCTCTTGTGGTTTAAACTGTCTCCTTGGGTTCTTAAGTGTCATTAAATTACAACTAGTTCTGGCATATGGTGTTCCAGGAAGAGTTCGTTGCTTTCTCAAACCCACAGGGATAATGAATTGGGCAAGAAAGAGCTATAAATACTTTAGAGCTAATACTTCTGCTGAGTTGCTTAGGTACTCATTGACCAATAAGGAATTCTGAATTTTGAAAGCTTTGCAAAATGCATGAATACATGAAGCCATTGTGATAAAACTATCTAAATTCTCAAATATGAATCCTAATTTGTGTGAGCTTGAATTCTCCCCCCTTAATTTGCAAGGAGTCCTGTAGCAGTGGGATGGTCCTGGGAGAGTTTGCTGAATGAGGCAGATGTTGAGCTGGCTAGTGTGTCCCACTGGTAGGGTGTGGGCACATCTATTTTCTCTCCCTTTACTTGTATCAAGAATTGTGTGCAGAAGACAGCATCTCTCCAAGGCTGCTTTTGCTCTTCCCGGGTAGCTTTGTGGGCAGTGGGGGCATTGAAAGGGAGGATTCACTTAGTTACTTGCAAGCATCCCTCCTTGCATGGCATCAGCACATGCAGGTGGACTCCAGCTCCTCTAGTCTCGTTTGCTTGGGTGTTCGGTAGCTGTGCAAGCGTGGTGGCAAGTGTGGGTCCCTGTGCCACGTGGGAGGGAAGCGTAGTGCCACAGCTTTCTTGGTGCCCGTACCTGACCTGGGGCAGGGTGTCACGAGGTGCCACCCAGCGCTGAGTTGGCCCGCAGCAGGGGCCAGCTCTCTCTGCAAAAATGAGAGCTGTTGTACCCAGTTCCCCACAGCACAGCGTGGAAGTGGGAGCGGAGAAGTGACACTCCATGTGCCCCAAGGGAAGCAGAGACTGGAAAATGGTTCTCCCGGTGCTGCCCTGGGAAGCGGTGAACCCTCTTCTGCTTTTGGCTTGAGCCCATGCTCCTGAGCAGGGGTTAGTGCAGCTGTTTGCCCTCAGCCCTGTTGGGTTTAGAGAATCAGACCCTTTAGACCCTTTTTGTGCAATAGTTTTATGAAGACCAAATCTTGGTACCACATCTGTTTGCTCATGAAAATGTGCACTGGGGGCCCAGGCTCCTGTACCCTCTCCCTGACCCCGCTGTCTGTAGTCACAGGACTAGAGCTGGGTGGCACCTTCAGTCCTGGAATTTGACCATAAGTTGCTGATGTGATGAGCTGTCTCCCCTCAAGAGGAGGATCAGGGGAAGAAATTAGCATGCCCTCACCCTTCTCCCTTGCAAGCTGCCTCCCAGTCCATGGAACTGTTGCTGGTGCACAGTGGGAGTATGTTGCCAAGGTTTTGGTCTGCTTATCTTACTCTTGCAGCATTGAACTGCACCAGCAGCAATTTATATACATAATGTTGTGGCATCCAGAACCACTGGGAAACAAGCAAAAAGATTTCCATTTGCAACAAAGAGAAAAAAGAAGTTTGTCAGCAGAGACTGGTGTCTGCCTTGGGTGGTAGCTATATGTCCATGTCTTACTGGTCCCCTCTGTCACTCTGCTGCACATGCATTTAAAAAAATAAACTTTTTTTTTTCTTCCCAGGGAATCCAGGACCGGCCAAGGCAGAGAACGCTTTGTCTGAGAACCACTTGCAGTTGCACAAGAAGCTTGAAAAACTTTCTCACCCAGGCCAGATTGCAGTAGGTTCTTTTAAATCCACTGATATTCGTGTTTGGTTCATAGTTTTCACGGAGGGAATGTCTATGCAGACAGCTCCTCTGGTGGTGCCTGGGTTTGGTAGCTAATGAGTCCACCTGAGCCTGCGCAGGGCTGGCTTGAGCTTGCTGCTGCATTAACATCTCATCAACCTTCGGTCCAGGTCTGACTGGTGTCCAGCTCAGGTCATCGGCAGAGAGTTCAGTTTTCCTGAACTTGTCTGATCATACATCTTTAAAGGGTATGTCTTTAATATTTCAGGAAGTCATTGATCAGTTCTCGTGCAACCCAGAAGTCAGGACCATGCTGTGGTTTGTGCAAATGCCCAGTGTGCTGCCAGGCTGTGACACACTCAGGAGTGCCCTGGCTCTCCGTTTACTGACATGCCACTGATGGAGAGGATGATTCCTACTGCTCTGTCTCATTTACTGAGGCATTTATTTTATTTGGTGGTGTTTGAGGTGGGGGATGACCATCAGGCAACTGGAGCTCGTGGTGCCTTGTGCAGGAGCTCATATGTGGGATGCTTGGCATTTTAGAAGTTTGCGGGATGCTTGTCATTTTAAAACCTCACAAGCAGGGCTGGGTGGCTCCGGGGGATACGAAGCAGGGCAGCAGGGACAGCTGTGGCTGGGCGGAGTCCCCAGCCCCTCCTGACTTGTCAGGGACCACAGGTTTGAAGAAAACTCTGTGTGTAGGCCATTGCCAATGACATGGGAGGCCTATATTGAGTTCCCATAGGACGGGGGCATGTGAGTGCCCCGTAGGTGTGAACTATGGCAGTGTTTGTGTTGCCTTTCCAGCCCCAAGGTGCCTCGCACCCGCTCTGCGCAGGCACGGCCAGTGCTGGGGCATGGCCCCACCAGCCTTGGGGGGTCCAGGGCTGCAGCAAAACTCAAGCTGGTGCAATCCTTCAGTCCCAGTGCAGAGCACTCCTCTTGTCCGAAAAAGGAAGGGCTTCTGTGCTTCTGGAAAGTGTGAATATTGAATCATAGTTTGTGATTGAAAATAATATCCTGACTAAAGTTAGTCACCTTTCAACTATTAGGAAGATCGGGTGGTTTGGCTCAGGTCACTTTTTGGGTGAAATACCCACTTGTGATGGACCAACAAAAGCATCAACTTCCTAATAAAAAGCTTTTTTGGCGTGGAAGTGACAATAACTATATTTGCTGGGACAGTAAAATATTGCACATGCTGTTTAGCGATGGGTTCTTCCCTGAGAAAAAAAAAATATCAACTGAGCTTTCTTTACTCAGAGTCCAAGCTCCTTTGCCAAGGGGAAGGACGGTGCCAACGCATTCTTAAAAGCTGCAGACTATTCCTCATCAAGTGACGAAGTTGGCAGCAGCGATGAAGATGACATGAACCACACAAGGTTGGCTTGATTTTTTTTTTTTTCCCTTCCTTTTTATTACCCACTTCTAAATACTTGGAAAATGTTGGCATACATAAATACTGCCTCCCCTCTGAAGTTACTATCAGTCATTTATGTCAGTTGTAATTAAGCAGTTTAATCACACTATAATGAACTCCCGGGGGTAAATGTTAGCTCCATCAGATGTGTGCAGTGTAATAAGCTTTGATGACTTGCTGCCCTGGGACAATGAGGAAATGTCTTGTTTTAACTGAATATCAATAGGTAGTGCTTTTGTAGAGATTACTTCACATTGATCAATGTTTAAATAGAATTTTTGAAAGAAAAAGGGAGAGGGAAAGAAAACTTCATGCTAAATACAGTTTACATTGAAAAAAGCAAGGCAAACATGACCATCGTATTCAGATAGTCTGTTCACTGCAGGAGAAATAATTACCACTGAAAAGCTGATAGTGTAAGGGATAGTGTAAGCAGGATTTGGTTTTGTAAACTTTGCTGTATTTTTAATATTGTTATTTTGCACAATTGCTGTGTTTGCCAGACGATGCTGTGGCTTGTACCAAGCTCATCTCACCTGAACTGTTTCTCTCTGGCTTTCCAGTTTCTCGCGTTGATTTTGTGACTGATGTGTTGTGGTGTTTTACCTGTCACACAAAATGTGTATTCTGCTGAGAAATAACGGAGCATGAATAGCTTGCTAGTTGAAGTGGAAGAGAATCAAGGGAACAGCAAGAACAGCAAACAGAATTATTTTTAGTATTGATGAAACTTCTGATTTTCTTGCAACGAGACTTCAGTTTGATTCAAGTTCAGGGATTTACTTTGAAGTGCATCCCAGGGCCACAGAGCTCTCTGGGGTGGGGCTCTTGCTCTTCTGACGTAATTGCACACACGGTTTTGTCAGTCTTCAGGAAGAGTTGCACAGATCTGTAGTGCTGTTGGCAAGCTATTGGGTTGGCCTGGTACCAGTCCTTTCCCCTGTGCTGCTCTGAAGAAGATAGAGTTTTTGCGCCTGCATATGCTCCTGATTTGCATTTCTGAAGTTCATTTTCAAAGCTGAGGGATGAAGAGGAAGTACATTAAAAATCTTGTAGCTTATTCAGTGCACCTGAAAGACCTGTCTTTTTACTGTAACGCCTTTATTTTCTTACTGTTTCTCTTCCAAACCACCTTATTCTGATCTGTAAAAAGTTTTATTCACTCTAGGTCATAGAATTCATCCTAGACCTCAGAAAGACTCTACATAAAAAATATGGATTTGCCGTGTAGCAATGACTTTGCTGTGTAAGTGTTAGATTGTTGTGATCCTTGCATGCTGTAATGATTTGGAGGAGTGGTATCACTGCCTTTGGAAATCTGCGTGTGTTCTTTGCATCTCCTCTGTGTGTGAGATCCACCAGTCCTCTAGAGAAATGGAATTAGCAGGATGATCATCCCTGTCCGGTTTGCCTTTCTGTGCACACAGCCGCCACAAGAACTGTAAAATCACAAGTATAACCCTGTCTGTTAGCAAAGTCCCTTGGCTGAATGTCATTTATATTAAAAGATAAATACATTGGGAAACATATCCTGATTACTGACAAGGAAATAGCAAAAAGGATAGTGATCAAAGGGAAAGCAGCTTTTGCATATTCTGGATAAAGTGAAGATTTTGTTTTTCTTGCTATCTAAAGCATGTGAATACAGGATCTGAAGCCCCTTGCAGTCTGTGGGAGTGTTTCTGTGTGGGCATGGGCTGAGACACCCTGGGCCCGGTTTTAGTTGGCTGTTGAAAGCAATCTGTGTTCTTGCCTGGGCTGTGGAACAGCTTTTGGTGTCTTCACACCAGCTCTCGTGGGGGTGCCCAGGAGGCCTGCACTTGGGACATGCACACATGCAAGAGAAGGAGCTTCATACTCTCTTGCCCGAATCCTGTTAAGCACCCTGAGATGGCTCATTTCTGAGGAAGCCAGGACTAAGGATAGCTGTCCTTCACCAGTAAAACAACTATTTGGTCTTGTTTTTCTTTTCAGTGAGATGAGCCAAAATTCTTCCTCACCCACACCAGGTTTTTGCTTTAAGGAAAGGATGTCAGTGTATGTGATCAAGCATCTCACCTGCTTGTATAGCGTATCTATTCCATTGATGCTAGTTTCTCCTGCTCTACTGAGAGCGCTTCCTCCTCCAATGCCTGCAGCATTCACAGTTCCCCTAAAACAATGAGTTTCCTGGGACTCATTTTGTGTAGTTCAGTTTCCTCTCTCTGCTCTTTATATGCAGTTCCTTACCAAAATTTGAACAAGGTGGGTGCAGGTGTGTGGTTGGATAGGAATTACTTTCTTCTCCTAATATGTGGGAGGTTGACATCATTTGAGATCAGTTGCTGCTTGCTTTCTTGATCAAAACAGGTCCTTGCACTCACCTTCCTACTCCATGTCTTGCCATGCCTTCTAACTTCAGTATGCAAATATCTGCCCCTCACATGATGGGGGGCACAAAACCAAAAAAATAAACAACAAAAAAAAGCCAGGTAAACATCTGCTCCTTCATAACCATCTTAAGTCGGTAGCTCTCCCACCACGCCTTTGTTATCACATTGGGCAACATTAGAAAAAAAAAAAAAAAGCACCTTCCTGTGGCATAGAGCCCTTCGCACCAGCATCCTGAATCCAGTCAGTTTTACAATTCCTGGGAAAGAGGCAGAAATAGGCTTAAATGGATTGCAGTAATAAAGAAATGAATATAAATAAGTGGAATAAATAAGTAAAGTAGGGTGGAAATGCACAGAAATGGGGCCAGAACCTCATTGACAGAGGTTTGAGGCAGTGCCACTTGAATGAAAAAGTTTAAAAAGCAGAGATACCACCAGCTGTGTAGGAAGTGATAGTATGCTGGGGTATATCGCGACAGATGCTTGCCTTGTTCTTCCTCTTTCTGTAGGTATCTGCTTTCGGTCACTGTTAGAGGTGGGCTTTGGCCCCAGCCAGTCCAGCAGCTCTTCTGTTCTTTTGTCTCTGCGTGCACTGGGCAACATTTTCTTTGTTTCTTTGTGCGTAAGGTGAGGATGTCCGTGTTTCAGGGACTGATGCACAGTGTGAAATTCCAGCGTAGGAATTTCCTGCCCCAGTAGGCACTGGCAGAGAGGTCCCTGATACCAGCATATAGCGGAGCAGTGGCTCTCCCCCTTGCAAGGGCAGCTGAAGCTCTTTCTCTGGAGGGCAGGGTCGTGTATGAGAGGAGACAGGAGAAGTTTTGAAGTAGGCATTTCTCAAATAACAGCTTGAGGGACAAGCCTGAGCTATGCGGTGTCTGAAAAATGAGGGGTGACAAGCAGGGAGATGAAGGGATGCCCTCCGCAGAGGTGGGGAGAGCTTCCTGCTGTGTGTGGGTGCTCCTCGGGCTCGGGTCCCTTCAGGCACATCCACAGACTAATCAGCTTGCTTTTGTACATGAACCTTTAAGTGTAACTAGTGAATGTTAATTATGCTCACTTTTGAACACCTATATATGGGGGTTTTTGCTTTTTTTGTTTTTTGGGCTCTTTTTTTTTTTTTCTTTTCTGAAGTAGTTCTGTTCATTAATTGGAGTTTGTTACCAGGCAACTGCTAAGCAGCAGAGTGGTAGATTTCTCAAGGACGAGAGTACCAGATGGAATTGAACTGAAACCCCAAAGCACCGTCGCAGAACAGAAGGTAATTTGGTCATTTGTAAGGGGGTGGGTACGGTGCGGGGGAGTCAGATCATTAATGTGCATGATAAACGCTGTATCCATTTCTTCTCGGCAGCATTTTCCCTCTGAAGTCCTGCTCTGTCATTGAAAATTATAGCTATAAGCCTTGAAAAAACATGCAGTTCCAGGCTTTGCGCTTCCTATAAAAATGCTTACACATAGGTATGAAATTGTGCTTCTTTATTTGTCCTTGTTATTGACCTGGTGGTAGTTTCTAATGTCAACGTATTTCTTGAAGGCACTGGGCAGGTTGCAAAAAGCAATGCTGTTGATTATTGTTGGTGTGCATTGTTGCTATTTTTAAAAATCCTGACCTGTTTTTTTTTCCAACTTAAAGAGAACTACCTCTTACTACTTAAAATATTACCAGAAGAGGGGAAAACCACTTCATCTCTCTCTACTGGCTTAGTAAAAATACATGTCTTCTCATATGTCATGTTGTGGTTCCTTCCCAGCTGTAGCTTCTAGTAGAGACTTCGAGTCATGCGGATTTTCCCCTGTGATAAATATTAGTGCAGAAAAGATGAAGACAGACAAAGCAGAACGATGCTTTTTGTGGTTGAAAACAAAAACAAATTGCGGTAATATGACTTGCACTCAGCATCAGAGCACTTCTCACACATTACTGAGTGTACTCTTGCTTCACAGATAGGGAAAATAAATTGCTGTGAAACCGGTGTTTTTCCCAGAGCTGCTTGCGTGAGCTGTGGCAGGGCTAGGAAGAAAAGGGAGTTTTCTTTGCCTCTGGTATGATTTCTAAGCTTCAGGCCAGAGTTGGCATCCTTCCTGCCTGGGGAGTGAGTCCCATGTTGCCTTCACTCCACCATCCTCAAGGAGAAAAGATGCTGCTTTGGAGATGGAATTATAAACAGGGCAAAACCGGTATTTTTTTTAATTTAGAATTATCTACTTTTTTTTTTTCATATTTTGGCCAGCGTTCAAAAAAGCTGATCTAACTTCAGAAGGTTGTTTATCAGAGTCAATACAACGTACATACAGGCTTGCCTTGACTTCAGCCAGCCAGAAGCTGCTCGAGTTTGGTGGTGCTGTTTGCTTCAGTGTAACTCAGGAGGAATTTTCTAGCGTAGCACTTGGCTCCTGTCACTCTCTACATTCCAGTGCTGATGGTGTTCAGGTACCCTGACTGGTCACGGCCGGGTGTAGATCCCTCTGCACTGCCTTCCCCATCTGGGACACCACTTGCTTTACACATCCCATCTTCCTTCCTCTCAAAGCTTCTAGCCATGTGTTCCCAGAAACCAACCTCTGACTCTGTTATTTTGTGCTGTCGGCGAGAGAGCTTGTGTGGTGCCTCACACCTTGCCTAGTTCACAGGTATTTTCTTGAAGCTGGTGGGATCCAGTAGGGAGGTCTGCAGTACCAACCATCATTGTACTGGAAATGCTGATACTGGGTCCTACTGAGTGTCATCGTTCTAGAATAAGGTTTCCTAATTCAGTACATGGAAAGTAGCAATGGAATGAATGGTGAGGGGCTGTGAACTGAATGCAGATCCAGAACCAAGAAGTACCTACTCTGACTGTGGTAGGTAGAGGTCAGATCTTAGGACAAGTCATTCCTGTCTGAAGTGTCTCTGAGGATGAAGTTGCTGCTTTACCTGTGGTTGAGGTAACATAGATGAGGAACATTTGCGGAGCACTTCAGGAGTGGAAGCCAGTGTTGATGTCTCAGGTGGTTGCCACACACTTTTGTATTTAATTTTTTATTTTAATCTTTCCTAGGGTTTGTCTTTACATGATGCATCACGCAGAGCATATGCTCCTTATTTATTGTCATAATTAACAGGAGTTGCATAGTGCATTGCTGAATGTGGAGTTTAACTGTGTGTCCTCATATGCAGGATCAGATTTTAGGGAAACAATTTTCGAGCACCCAAGAAAGCTTCTGGAGTGTAAGCAACCAGAACTACCTTCTGCCAGATCTCCTCCAGCAAAGCCAAATTTCAGACTCCTCTGTGAACCCGCCAAAAGTGCCACTGACTAGCCAGGAACCTCAGAACAAACCTCTGAATAAGGTAAGTGAGAAATTACAGATTGAATGAGCAGTACCATCACTTTCCTCCAACCTTAAGGAGACTGAGATTGAGAGCCTTTTAACTTCATCTGTCCTGTCTCTTCTTATGATGAGATTTTTCACCACATCTCTTCTTTAAAAGTTTTATCTAGGGGATGGATAAGAAATCTTGTGCTCCCTAACAGATTTTATTGCTCTGCTTATTTGCCCCCATCTCCCTCTCTGCTCCCTTTTCTTTCCGTCTTTTTTTTCCCCTTTAACACAAGCCAGAAGGGCTTGTACTCTCTGTTCCTTTACCTTTCGTGGCAGCAGCACAGCACTCCTCTCTGCCTTTGCTCCCTGGCTTTCTTCCACCCCAGTGTCAGCTGGGAGCGCACAGGGCCAGAGCAGCGTGTCTCGGCAGCCCCGAAGGGGCTCTAAACACTGCTGGGAGCACAGGAGCCTCCTGGGGAGCAGTGTGTCAGCTCTGCCAGGGGCCACGTCCTAAACTGCCTTACTTGAGGTATCAGCATCCTCCTTGCTGGAAAGAGATCTGAGCAATGCCCTGTTGCAGAGAAGGCAGTGGGGAGTGATGGACGTGCTCGTCTTCTGGGGGCTGGTTATTGCAGCGCAGTGCCTGGCTAAGCATCCCGACACAATGCTCGGGTCTCCTCTTCTGTCGCTGGATTTGTACCATGTACCTGCTGCTCTAAGACTGTTCGCTGTGTCTGAATATGCCACGTGCTGTTTCTTCTGAACCTCGGAGGCGCTGCAGTGCTGCGTGCTGTCTGCTCCCCTAGCATCATCTTCCTGAAGCAGCTCTTGTTTTTCGTTGCAGACCCCGTGCACTGAAAGCACACCTTCCAAGAGCAGCACGTCATCTACAACATCGTTTACTTCATTCATAGATCCTCGACTTCTGCCAATCACCCCTCCCACCAGCCCAGTAGGACATTTCTGTAGTTCTCGTGAGTATGCTTTACCCTTCCCATAAAATGCTGTTCCTGGTTTCTGGGGGTTTTTTTCGGAACTGGGGAGGGCCTATTGCTTGGAAATGGGAACTGTCAGTAACATCTCCAGAAACTGAAACTCCACGTTGCTATGAATTTTCATTGTACTGCTACTTCCCTTCCTCCAGATGTGCCTTGCTCAGCTCTGCTGCTGTGTTACCACAGTGCTTACTCAGGAAT